AAGAGCGTCACTCCTGGATACATGGAGAGCTGAGGGGACAGGGCCATCCCAGGGCAGGAGAGCCAGAGTAAACCCTGTGAAATCCACAGAAATAGGGCAAGCCCGGGAGAGCACAGCTGCTGCAGGAAAGGCAGAAGCCCTGCCTTCGAGAGGCAAGGGCCCACAGCCACTCAGGGGACAGGAACAGAATTCACCCTCTATGCCTTGACCACAGAGATCCAGTATTGCTGGGGGCGGGTGCGACACTCTCTCCTGCACAAGACCCTCCAAAGACAGAGTCACAGGGAAGGGGTAGGGCCACTGAAAGAGCACCACAACAACGGTGGTGGGGCAAGACGCTCCAAAATGATGAAAGATATCAAACCCCAGATCCAAGAAATGCAGAGAACACCTGGCGGGATAAACAGCCGCAAACTCCCCAGTGGCTTAATGTGTGGCCTAAGACTGGGCCTCTTCCGTCCAGTGGGCTCCATGCACCTGCCAGCCCAGCCCTGCCTCGCCTCTCATGGCCACTTCCCACATGGGGCTGCAGGAATCGGTTTCGGGGAGCCTCGTTCGAATGCTGCAACCTTCCTACTCCTGGTCTCGGGGTTAAGGGTCTGTATCTGATGCAGCTGGAATAGGGCAGGCAAGGACCAAGGGAAGACCAGGAGGCTCACTCCTGGGGGCACCGGCAGCCAGTGTTTCTGGCCTGTGGCCTGAAGGACCAGAGGAGGCTGTCTCAGGGTGAGAGAAGAACGAAGCTGAGGCAGAACAGGCACAAGAGACAGTGGCCACGGCGTCCACATTCCACATTCCATCCTGCTCCTGACTCCCAACTGCAGCCCCTGCATGGGTTTCATGAGACATCAATATATGCTCATTTTGTTTTTAAATAAAGCCTCCCCTTCTCCCCCTTCCTTTGCTTAAGGTACCTCAATTGCTGGAGTCCTAGCTAGTAGGATTCAATTTCTTTTCACAATCACTCTAAAAGGAAGATGTTATTTACATTTTATAGATGAAGAAACTCAATCTGTGGATCAAAGACTCAGCAGGCATGTCCTTTGCTAGCTGGGAGGACCCCTATAGGATAAAAACATTCAGAGTGAGCCCCAGACCACCTCCTGGAGAAGTTCTAGAAAGGACCTCCTGACTCAGGCTACTCTAATCCATACTCCTGAGACAAACCTAAAAATGACCTAAGGATTGTGAAACACCCTTAAGAGTGTATGCCAGAGGCAATCCCAACAACTGTCAAGTTAGCATGAGTAGGTGGCCGCCACTTCCCTGGCACACATCCAAGGGCAGAGAGTAGGTCGCGCCCTGGCTCGTACCAGAACCTTAACCCAAGCTTCTGTGCTTACCAGTGCTCGGCCTCTGCTGCCAGGACCCCACCAGAACGCTAACCCTACATACAGGAAAATATTTAATTTCTGAAACATCTGAAGACTCACTATGTGCCAGGTGCTATACCAAGTGTTTTACATTTAATCGTCACCTCTAATCTTTTGAGGGAGGTATAAGTGTACTCCCCAAGTTACCGATGGGGAGACTGAGGCTTACAGAAATTAAGTACAGCTGGGTCTCCGTATCTGAGGGTTCCAGTTCCGCCTCCTCAGATTCAACCAAACACGGATCAAAAGTATTCGGAAAGAAAAAATTCCAGAAGGTCCAAAAAGCAAAGCTTGAATCTGCTGCACTAGGGCAACTATTTACATTGGACTTTCAACTGATCACACAGCCTAGAGATGATTTAAAGGGTACGAGAGGATGTGCGTAGGTTATGTACAAATGCTACGCCATTTAATAAGGAACTTGAGCACCCACGATTTCGGTCCATGGGAGTCCGGGAACCAATCCCCTGTGGATACTGGGAGAAGATGGTAGTTTGCTCAAAGCACGCAGTTCAAAGGAGAGAAAGAACCAGGAGTGGAAAGTGAGGCTGTGTGGCGCTCACCTCTGTCACTTAACCTGAAATAAGGGGACAGTACATCCGCCCTGCCCCCACTGTGCTCAATGAGGTCAGCACTGCAGACACCTGTGGTTATTTTTTTAAAAACAAGTAGCACATTATCAGAACTAATCTAAACAAATCAACGAGCAAAAAAACGTGTGAAAGTTTCATATTCTTCTGAAGGTTGCCATGCTTCTAAATCATCTGGATAGTCAAACCCCCAAATCTTTCTGTTTTTCACTGGGGTGAGGAAGGACTTGGCAGCCAGCAGGGAATTCTGCTCTTACATTTTCCAGATGAAAGCGACTGAAAAAGTCCCTTTTCTCTGAAGCCTGTGCTTGGTGACTGTAATTCACCATATAAGGATACAAGTGATCCTCAACCTTTCACAGCCTCATCCTGCTTTTCTGAGTACTAAAATTTCATTTGGAAATTAATTTTATGTTATTTTTATTTTATTTTTTATTTTTTGGCTGCACGGCTTGTGGGATCCTAGTTCCCTGACCAGGGACTGAACCTGGGTCCCCTGCAGTGGAAGCACGGAGTCCAAACCACTGGACCACCAGGGAAGTCCCTACAATGTTATTTTTAAACTAAGTATACCTAAGAAAGATCCAATGAAGAATATTACAAAGTTTTGAGGAAGATTTAAAGATTTGGATTTTGTTACATTCTGAGCTGAATAAAAAACTCTTTCTTTAGGGGCTTCCCTGGTGGCGCAGTGGTTGAGAGTCCGCCTGCTGATGCAGGGGACGCTGGTTCGTGCCCCAGTCCGGGGGGATCCCGCATGCCGCAGAGCGGCTGGGCCCGTGAGCCAAGGCCGCTGAGCCTGCGCGTCCGGAGCCTGTGCTCTGCGACGGGAGAGGCCGCAGCAGTGAGAGGCCCGCGTACCGCAAAAAAAAAAAAACTCTTCCTTTAAATTGTTAAAAATTCCCTGCAAACTAAAAATATTTATCAACTTGCTAAGGATTAGTTTTTTATATTCATTAATGAAGGAATTTTTTAAAACGTACTGTCCTTTCAATAACTCGTATGTGGGGGAAAAAAACCCATAAATTTTGAATCTTTTACAGATTTCTTCATTTCTCAAAATTTTAATAAATTAAAATTTAACACAGATGTTCCTTAATAGCTTTTGAATTTTACCATGCTTTGTGTCGTTAAGATACGTTCAAAATAAGCCAATTATTTAAGCAATAAAAAGCACACGAGAATAATAATTTTAGTGGTAACAAAAAGTGATGACACTCATTTTTTATGTTTTTATGCAGAAAAGCACCACTTGTTTGGTCTAGATAAACTTGTATTTTAAAAACCAGCAACAATAATTTGTATTAAGTTATTTGAATCAAATTATACAAATGAATACCCCCATTTTACACTACACATGATGTTAATGACACCTCCAGAAAGGACTCATCGCAGGTTACAAAAATGGCACACCGTGAAGAGGTATCTGAGAAACAGATCCATTCATTCATCAGACATTTACTGAACTGTATGGAGACAGATATGGCTGTGGCTTCCAAAGATTAAGAAGTGTGCTGCGAGGCACAGGGACAAGGAGGGAATCTGGCTGCCCGTGTACTGGGACGGGTAGCATTCTGGGAGAGGAGAGAGAGAGAAGGAGGGAGGTGGAAGGGATGATGGGGGAAGGGGTGGGGGTGGTACTACCACTGCACTGGACAGATGACCATCTGCGAGTGAGAGCCGGCCCCTGGTGGTTCAGTCTGCCGGGGCAAGACCCCTAGCAGTGAGGTCCACTGAGGACAGAGCCAAGGCAGAAAGCCAAGCAGAGGCTGCAGAAGCCCAGATGAGGAGCCTTGTAGGAATGGAGCCACCCAGGTGAGGATGGACAGTCTCAGTGAGGGGAGGGGCCTCAGCGAGGAGATAGGGTCTCAGTGAGGGAGAGTCTAGGTAGGTGACATGTTTGTTGTCTTACTTTTGTGGCTAATAATGAGTAATAAGTATTGACGACTTATAACAGAAATGGAATGTGAAATAATATCATGGTTTATCCAAGTGTTAAAATATAATTTAGTTAAAATTAATCTTTGTGACTCTTAAAAACACAGCATACTGTGTGCTTCATTCAACACACCCCGAGAGGCAGCCAATGGCGGGGTGGGGGACGGCTGCAGGGAGACTTAGGGTGAGTATGAGGATAGCAACTCTGCCAGACCAGGGCAGGTCCAGGTGCAGAACCCCAGACTTACTAGTTTTGTGACTTGGACAAATCAGACTCTCAGGTCCTGGTCAGCAAAAGTACTTAGTGTTAGTTATTTAACTACAGAGCTATGAGGATTGAATGAGTAAATATATATCATACCCAGTGATAGGTGCTGAATGTTAGTTACAACCTATACTTTCTAAGGTCTGCTTTCAAATTTTCTGCAGCAAACATTTTTATAATGAGGAAAAAAGTTGTCTATCGAGAGATGTGAAGCCCTCTGTTAAGGCACAAAGAGATGAAAGCACACATGATTCATGCATCAAAGGGAATAAAGTGAGTTAAGCTCTTTTTCTCCACTCTGTCTATTCTTCGATATGTACACATTCTTGTCAGTGAATGGCAAGAAAAGAATGAAATAAACATTGACTTACTGGCTTCCTAAGGAAGAAGATAGACAAAGCTCCCACTAAGGGCATGTCTCCAATCAGTGGTTCCAGGATCACCCGCATTGTACCATGAATCTAAATTCAAATGGGAAACCGAAACGTTAACAGAAAACAATTCCACAGGCCGTTACAGATGCAAAAAGGAGGATGCAGGATCCTCTCAGTGATTGCTGAGCATCTGACTTCAGGTTTCTCTCAAGGTATAACCTATAAACAAAAACTTAACTTCAAAGAAATTCTGAGTTAATAAAAACTTCATGATTTTCTTTCTGAATAGAGCACAGAAAATTTGAGAAGACTATGAAACTTAAAAAAACCTTACCTGTATACTTTGCACACCAGCTCTACAAAAATATCGCTTGATCTCCAAATCAATCTCACAATTTCCTACAAAACTAGCAAAGAAAAAGTTCTGTATTACATTCTCTTAATCACCACAGACCTGCAAGCTATATAATCTGAATACAATGATAGTAAAGCAACCAGAACTAGACTGTAGGCAAAGCTGTAACCTGCAGCCTGGCCGTGCCAGAGTGTTCTAGTGCCTGCGCTGGAGCGGTCACTGACACCAGTCAGGACCACCGCATGGGTGGCGAGGCAGGCAGCCTGGCCAGAGGACTTGGTATAAACGTCACTTCTCAAAGTGCAGCTTCTGGAGCAGTCTCTTGATGGAGCGTAGTTTTCATTTGTTTTATAAACAACTATGCTTGTTTAAAACATAAAAAATGCTGAGATTATGTTTCACCACAAATAAATGCTGTGCCCAAGCTCCCCGTACTGAGGAAACTAGCAGTGCTCAGGGTCCTCTGATGTCAAAGGTTAAAGACATTACATCCATCTGAGGTATCAATTTTACTCAACGATTAAGTCTTTTCAATCATTAATGTGAAACAAACATGAATACAGCATGATGCTGAATGTAAGGCTTGCACCCATCTTTACTGTGAACATGGCACGTCCACTACATTTTGCGTGGGATCCGTATGATTTGACTCCCACCCTTGACTCTTGGACTCTTGACTCCTGCGTGGGAGCGTCGGGGGAGGGGGGGGCAATTTGATAATCATGAGAGAGACTGTCTAAGCACATGAGCAAAATAGTGACAGAAGGCGTCTGGGATGAAGTCTTCCAATATTCACAGTTCTGATGTAAAAGTCAATACCTGTAGGTTCTTTTGGTGAAGGGGGGACGTACAGTCAAGCACACATTTTGGCAGAAAGTTGCTGCTAGCCACGAGGGGCAGACATCTGAGTTAATGACAGCAGTGCTTTTCTAGCTATGAGAAGATGCAAGAAATTGGGCTCATAACATCGTCTCCTGAATGTATCTATCTGAAGACCTGTTCTGACAGTTTTCCCAGAGCACAGAAGGCCTCAGTCCTGATCTCTGGCCTGAACTCCTTTCAGGGTGTGTGGAAGGTCAGCAACTGCAGTGGCTGGCGGCCTCACCCTTGTAGAGGCAGATGGCGAGCGACAGGTTTTCGCCCACACACACCAAGACTTGATCATTTATTTCCTCATAGCTCTCAATTACTCCTTCCCCAACTCCACGGCCAGTAACCTAGTTACGGTCCTTATCTGGAACACAGGAAAAAGCAGAATGCAGACTTTTTAGAGACATAAATATCTGAGCTGCATAACTTGCGTATGCCGTCATGTCTGCTGAAACCACAAAAGCCAGGCTGCATCTTCAAAATGGCGTCCGGTAGCAGATTCACTCGGATGTTTATTTAATGAACGTGTATGAAGTGCTCCTTCGGCGCTGGAACAAGAGAACAAGGCTCCCACGCTCCTGAAGCTCACCCTCAGCCTAGTGGACAGCCCTCCCAGGGTGCGGCTGACCCGAAGACACTCGCGGGGCTTCCTCTTCTACTGCACTGACGGCAGCGGCGTTTGCAGTAGTTCCAAATATGTTAAAGATGCAGAGTTTTCCATATCACATCATCACAACATTCTATGCTCCCTTCTAGAATAAAGGTAATTGGTACTGACTGTTCATTTACTATATTAATACACTTTAGAAACTCAAAGATGACATGATAAAATAAAATGATCCTTAACCAAAACAACAAACCAAACCCTGCAGAGCCGTGTGTCAGTCAGCAGCTCAGCAGCGGCCTGCACACAGCTGGGCCGGGGCCTCAGGGAAAGCCGGAATCTTGGCAGTCAATAAGACACCAAAAAAGAAAAAGAAAAAAACGCCCACGAACAGTGGAGACAAGAGCCAGAGAAAACCTCTCTACCATGCAGGCAAGGCACCTGGCAGACCCCTAAGTAATTTTTTTCCCAATTATTCTTTATTGTGGTAAAATATACACAAAATTACCACCTCAACCATTTTTAAGTGCACGGCTCAGTGGCATTAAGCACATTCAGATGATTGTGCAACCACCACCACCATCATCACTTCCAGAACTCTCTGCATCTTGCAAAACTGAAATTCTATACCCGTTAAACAGCAACTTCTGATCCCGCCTCCCCCAGGCCCCTGCAGCCTTCATCCTACTTTCTGTCTCTGTGAATCTGACTCCTCTGGGGGCCTCACATGAGTGGAATCAGACAGGATTTATCTTTTCGTGACTATCCTATTTCATTTAGCATTATGTCCTCAAGGTTCATCCCTGATGTAGCAGGACGGACACTACACACTGCAGGATTTCCTTCTTTATAAAGGCCGAATGATACTCCACTGTATGTACATAACACACCTTGCTTACCCAATCAACAGTCAATGAACACCTGGGTTGCTTCCATGTTTTAGCTATTGGGAATATAGCTGCTATGAACACAAGTGCACAAATACCTCTTTGAGACCTTGTTTTCAATTCTTTTGGGTATGTACCCAAAAATGGAAGTGCTGGGTCATACAGTAATTGTTTAATTTTTTGAGGAACAACTATTCTGTTTCCATAGCAACTGTACCTTTTACATTCCCGCCATCAGTGTACAGGGGTTCCAATTTCTGCACATCCTCACTAATCTGTTTTCTGATAGGTGCCATCCTGATGGGTGTGAGGCGGTATCTCACTGTAGTCTGGATTTGCTTCTCCGTGATTAACAGTGATGTTGAGCACCCTTTCATGTGCCTGTGTCCACTTGTGTATCTTCTTTGGAGAAACATCTATTCAAGTCCTTTGTTCACTTCTGAATCCGGTTATTTGTTTTTTTGCTGCTGTTGAGTCGTAGGAGCTCCGTATACATTCCGGATCTCGGTCCCTCACCAGACACACGGCCACGCGGATTACACCGCTTCTACAGACTGCTTTTAGCGCTGACTTTTAACAATGTTAAGTCTTCCAAACCACAAACATGGGATGTATCCCTATGTATTTATGGCTTTAATTTCTTACAGCAATGTTCTGTAGCTTTCATTGTACAAGTCTTCCACCTCCTTGGTTAAGTTAATTTCTAAGTATTTTATTCTTTCTGTTTCTACTGTAAATGAAATTGTTTTCTTAATTTCCTTTTTGGATTGCTCGTTGTTAGGGTATAGAATGCAACTGATTTTTTTTTGCATTGACTTTGTATCCTTTTACTTTGCTAAATTCATTTACTAGCTCTAAAAGCTTTTTTTTGTGGACTCTTCCAGGTTTTCTACATAGGTCATATTACCTGCGTACAAAGATAATTTTACTTTCTCCTTTCCAACTTGTATGCCATTCACTTCGTTTTCTTCATACCGAATTGCTCTAAAAGAACTTCCAGTACCATGTTGAACAGTAGTGGTGAAAGCAGGCATCCCTGGCTTGTTCCTGATCTCAGAGGAGAAGGTTTGTCTTTCACCACTGAGCATGCCGCGCGCCGGGAATACATGCCTTTTACTATATGCTGAAGTACAAGTCTGTTTCCTGTTTAAGTGTTTTTATCATGAAAGTGTGTTGAATTTCACCAAATGCTTTTTCTGCATCAACTGAGATAATCATGCAGGGGTTTTTTTTCCCCCTTCATTCTGTTAATGTGGGGCATTACACTGATCACTTTTCTTTGTTGAACCATCCTTGCATCCCAGGAATAAATCCCACGTGGTCACGGTGTATAATCCTTTAACTGTGTTGCTGAATTCAGTTTGCTAGCACTTTCTTGAGGATTGTGGCATCAATGTTCACAAGGGATATGGGTCTGTCATTTTCCTTTCTTGTAGTGCCTTTACTTTCTTTTATTTAACATGTTTTATGAATGATGGCAATTATCTAGGCTGCCAGGAACTAAAACCAGAAAGTAAATAAATTTAGGTCTTCAACAAGAAGTTAGTCCAATTCCATCAAACAGCAGGTAAGAAATGTGCTCATTATAACCTCCACCTTATGGGTACAGCTAAGTGACATCACACATCATTAACTGTGACATAAATACAAACTTACCTAATCTGAAGGTCCAAAATAATTTGCCTTTTGTCCACATTTTCAGTATACACCTTAACACCATTGATCCTGAGGGGCTGAAACAAGAACTGGCTTACTTAAAACGTAGGAAGGGTGAAAGAAAAACCAAGCCCTGTGACATAGCAGAGCTGAGACAATGAGCTTCAGCATCAGGCCACAGGAGTGAACTCTGCTTCACAATGTACTACTAGCTGTTTCACCTCCAGCAAGTTGTTAAACCTCTGTCCCTCAGCGCCCTCATCTGTAAAACACGGTCAGGAGGGCAGCTCCACATGGGCAATAGCGAGGCTACAGGACACAGGACCATGTGGGTTAAGGAGCACGGCCTGGCACAGCAGGTGCTCAGAAGCCACAGACACAGCTCTGCTATGACCCTGCTTCGCTCCTTCCCAGGAGCCTTGGGCCCTTGTCTCTTCCAGATGACTTTGACCCTTTCCCTCTACTCCATCCTTACTAATTGTTTAAAATATAACTTCCTTTCATTTTTTCTTTATGTCATAATTTTCCATTTCTTAAGATTTTAATAAAAATGGGGCTTTTGAGTGAATCAAAAATACTAGCTGTATTTTCAACACCTAATACATGCTACAAGGTCACAATCAAATGACTCTGTAAAAAGAAAAGGCAGACCTACAATAAATGCTATATTTCAACATCATTTCAAAACCTTTTTCCCATTAATTGATTTGAAACCCCTCCTAAGAAAGTTTTCAGCATGACATTTGAGCATTAAACTCAAGCTGAAGAACCACCGGACCTCTGGAGGCTTTACTGCTCACCCGGACAGTGTGTGTGTCCTAAAACTTTATTCCTCAACCAGCTGCAGGAGAAACTCTCAGTCTACACTTCCTACCGTCCCAGGTCCCGGGCTTTTCTGCTCGGGTTCTCCTGCCCCTCTCTTCTGTCCCTTCAATCAAACAGCCCGGGTCCTGTGTGCCCAAAAGAGGTCCATGCAGCCATGGTGATGCCAAGCTCCCTGACTGAACCCACACTACTCTCTGCATTCCTG